GTGTACGACTCGCGGCGACATTGATGCGAGGGCCGGTACTTGAGTGGATTGGCGGCAACAGTACCTTCATCCACGGTGAAGCCACGTGGCAGCAGTTCCGCGCCGACCTGCTGAAACGCTTCGAGCCGATAAATTCCGGTTTCCTTGCCCGGGAAAAAATTCATCGCCATTGACAGTACGGGAGTGTAGCGCAGTACACGCAGCAGATGGAGGAATTTTATAACCGAATTCCCGATCTGACAGAAGGGGAAAAAGTACAGTCGTACCTCGCCGGGCTGAAGACCGAAGTCAAACGACAGGTAGCAGCGTCAAACTACGCGAACTACAGTGACGTTGTTTCGGCAGCGGAGCGCTTCGACATGGTCAACGCCGGGACACGACGGACGCACGTCGGCAGTACGCGACAGGGCGACCGCTCGGCTCACACACGTTCGCCGACCCGATGGAAGTCGACAGATTCGAAGGGCGGCCACGTCCGAAAAACACCAATTTCACGTGTGATTTTTGCGGGGTGCCAGGTCACCGAATCTTCGACTGCAACAAAATGAAAGCCGCACGCGCAGAGTATCGGGCACGCAACAGTGGCAGAATTCCTTCGGCCAATCAGAAGCCAAAAAACGGGAGTCGCCAGTGATTGCGGATGTAGCTGGCGAAAATAAAAAGATCCGAAAGCGACCGCGGGATTCCGGAAAAATCAACTTTGACGAAGCTGATTCGACGCGAGAAGGAGGAAATGATGGGGGAAATCTCCACCCCACGACCAGTCTTTGCCAGAGAAAATCGCCGAGGAAAAATATGACTCCGCGAAAAAAGACTCTGCCGAGACGGGGAAACTCCTTGAAGACCCAAGAAATTATATGGATTCGTTAAAGTTATCTTATATAGATGCTTTAATGAAAACTTATGATTTTCAAGGGGCTAGAGCCTTAGAGAAATTTCGGGAGGGACTCCAAAAGAAGCAGACAGCTGTGGAGATTATACTGGTACCGGACAACTTGGGGAAAAAATTAAGGAGTGTGGAAAGAAGCCGACCTTTCCACGGAGTCAACGTCCTCTCCCGACACCAGCCCACAACGACTACCCGTTCCCCAGGGAAGACGTCGGTGGAGCTGAAGCAACTCAAGAGGAAGCTGGGGGTCTACAAAAAGGTGCACAAACCCCGAACTCCTCCTCCGGATGCATCCAGTTCTTCGGCATCAACGACGCGCACAGTCGTCAAGGAAACTCCGGGCCCTGGAGAAGAGCCGTTCTCCAAGCAGCCTCGGCCAGCTGCCAGCTCAGGAGTAGATCGCAACACAAAGGTGTGTACAGAATATTGGGATGTACCCTATGACCCAATCAATGAAACTATCTTTGGGTACTCCGAGCAACGCCTGCCCCTCGTGCTCGAGGTCATCTGCAAAGGACGACGCCTCCAAGCACTCGTGGACAGCGGAGCATCGCACACCGTCTGTGACAAGGCAGTAATCGACCGACCGACGGGAGGCTTGAAGACCTCATGATAGTGACCCTGGTGCAGTATGATATCGAGTGGCTGAAGGTGGTTGACATATTCCACACCATCAAGGACTGCCACCCTGCTAACCAGTTTGATAGTGCCGAGTGGCAAGTCTCTCCAGTAGCAGTAGCAGCAGGAGCAAAAGCTGTAGCATCAACATAAGCAGCAGCAGCAGTAGCAGCATCAAAAGCAGTAGCATCAACATGAGCAGTGGCAGTAGCAGCAACATAATGGTCCGGAGGCGAGAACGTAGTAGCGTAGTGAGCAAGACTTGTGCATGATTATAGAGCTAGGCCTTGTGTATCGCGAGAAAAGTTGACTACGGCAAGGCTAACACACGAGTATATCTAAGTGTTGTACCCTATAACCAGGGCACATGTATTCCTAACACATATATATGAATGCGAACACACCTCCTAGCCTGGGTAGGGGTAGAGCCTAAGAAGAAATAGTCATCCAAAGCAGCACTACTATTCTGGCCTCTAGAGTAACAGCTCAAGGCAGCACTATTAGTTTGACCATTGAGATAAGGGCCAGAAGGCCAGTCAGCACGTGAAACAAGACAGGCGGTATAGAGTCGCAATTACAAACCAGTATAGCAGAGATTGGGACACAAGCAAGGGAGAGGCAACTAGGACAAGACCAAGCTGAGTACAAAACCACTAATGGTCATGAGACCGTAGGGCCTTGGTGAAGATATTAGCAGTCTTGGCCTATGAAACCAACTGTACTATACGAACCTTACCGCGCTGCTGCAACTCACACAGCAGGAAATACCGCAGCTGGATGTGCTTGGCCCTGCCCTCAAGTCGAGCCTCATGGCCATGTTATCACCAAACATGACCGGGGTAGAACTAGGCCTCACCTAAGTCGTTGAGCAAGAACGGTAGCCAGCGGAGCTCCTGAGCGGCCATAACCCCAATGTAGATCTCTACCTCACAAGTAGATTGAGCTACAGGCAACGACCTAGTGGACCGCCACGCGACTGCACCCGCACCAAGACTAAAGCAGTAGCCCTATGAGGGCCTGATCATCTCCAAGTTGTCAACCCACGACATGTCTCTGTGTCTAGTGAGGACCACTGGCTCCTGTCCTCCCAGCACAAGCCCTAGACTTGATGTACTCGTTGGATACCGCAATGCCCTTATCTCAGCCGACCAGTGCTCTGTTTGGTGTCTGCCAATCGCAACAAAGCGAGCAAGGATACAGAGAGGGTACGCTAGACCTGGACGAGTGAACGTCATCAGGTACATAAGGCACCACACCAGCTCTGCGTATGGACCACTAGTCTCGACCTGCTCACCAGAAACAGGCAGAGGGGTGGGTTGTGCTGACGAGAACTGAAAGCCAAACTGCTGCAAAACTTGTTGCGCCATATGAGACTGGTAGAGTGTGATCATGCACGCTGCACGGTCACGAGAGATCTCTTCTAAGTCTGTACTGGCGTGTCGCTTGAGCAGCTTGGCCTTCACTGTGGCTAGTGCAACTCTATCTAGAGTAGCAAAGATAAGGTTGTCTACGCACACAAGTATGTTGAACAGAGTCTGATCCGCACGAACAAAGAGAGAGGGGTCAGCAAAGGACGAGAAGAACTGGAGAGCTGAAAATGTAGTGCGGAGCATGTCGTGCAGCATAGGCTCCACAGAGTTGAGAAGCGAAGGAATCGGTGAAGCCCGGTGGGCACCGCAGGAAGATCTGCTTGTGTAGGCTGCCCTATCAACAAGTCCAGAGAGTGGAGTTCGTATTTACGCTGTGTAGCTATGTGGAGGAGCACTCGATGACTAGATGAGTAGTGCGAGCAGAGTCAGAGGGAGGAGCAGAGGACAGGGGTAGGGATGATTGGGAAGGGAGCGGTACGACGGGGACTCAAGGAGCACGAGAATGAAGAACCATGGGGTGGATAAGATCACGAGGCGAAATAGGACGACCACCAAGGGGACGACACACCCAGTGGGGTAGGGGGGTATTGGGGGACAGGACAAGGACAGAGGAGTGCGAGGAGGGAAATGAGCCAAAGAGGAGTCCAGGGGAGTGAACAACGGGTCGTAGATGCGGTCAGGCGGGAGGAGAGGCGATGCAGGAGGGACGGGCAGTCTGCCTAGGGAACTAGAGGAAAGGCCAAGGAGACGAAGGGCAGACTACAGCTTCTACTATTGCGGGTGCTGCTGCTGCTGCTGCTGCTGCTACGCTGTTGCTGCGGCGGCTATGGCTGCTGCTGCTGCTGCTGCCGGCCCACGCCAGAACCCCCAGCTCCAATACTGCTACCACCAGGACCATCCAAGCTAGCCCCCAAGGAGTAGCATCCCTAGACCTAGCACCTTCGGAACCAGCACCCCCAAAACCAGAACCCCTAGAGTCCACAGTCCCCCGCTGCTGCTGTTGCTGCTGCAGCTGCCACTGCTACTGCGACTGCTGCTAGGCGGGCATCAGGGGAGGCTGCTGAGGCGCCTGGGGTACCGGGACTATGGGGAGGGGCACCTCAGCTGCGGCAGGAGCATCCCCAACCACGGGGCCTCCAGAGTCAACAGACTCCTCCACAGACCCAACTGCGGGGAGGGGAGTGGCATGGGAGATACCAGACGGGGCCGGGCAGGGTGTGAGGGGAGCAGCAGACAGAGGAGTGACGAGGGAAAGAGGGGGAGGAGAAACAGGAGTGCCACGGTGTGGAAAGTGAGCATAAAAGAGAAAGAGGGGGAGGAGAAACACGAGTGCCACGGTAGAGCGTAACGTAATGAGAGTGAAAGACACGATGCTGTTGCGGATGGTAGAACAGTCAGGAGCGTCGGGCGGGAACCCGAGGAAGACATAGGGGAGAGTACAGGCTGAGAGTTGGCACAGAAGTGAGTTGGGCAGCCCTTGACGTGGAACGCTGACGTGTCACCGGGAGACCGAGTATAGAGGAGGATCGGCAAAACCTGTGGCTGTGAGGAGCGAGACCACATGTTAAGCTGGTGAGCCGCGTAGCGCACCGAGAACGACCATTGATAATGGAGTGAACTGGCATCAACCATGGAGGTGCGAGCCACCTCCATGACCAAGCCAGTGTGTCGCTTAGCTACCACATTCTGTTGTGGTGAGTCCAGAAGGGTGAACGTCTAGCTGATGCCCTCCACATAACAAAACATACCAAAGCGACCGGAGACAAACTCGCCACCATGGTGGGAGTAAAGACGGAGCTGTTAGAATATTCTACCTTCATTCTATTAGCCTACATTGTTTCATTGTCTTAGGTACTTATTGTTAGGATTAAGGACAGAGTCTAGGTGAACTTAGGAGCTAGAATTACTCAAAATATAAATCCGAAATTCTGGACAGAAAAGTCGTCTTCACAAGAAACGACGTCGACAAAAACCTAGCCGTTGGAATGTCGCGAAACTTGGATATGTTGTAGCTCTTAATCTCAGCTACCGTTCCCAATTTGAATCACGTTGATTGATGAAGTATTCGCGACGCTATGGCTTTCGACGCACTAGGGGGTAAGCTGTAGGAGGAGAACTTAACTCAATCTCAAGAGTTCAATCAAAGTTCAAGAATCTCACAAGGAATTTGAGGAGCAAGAGAAAGGTTGGGATAGGAAGAGAGGGATGAGAGGGAAGGTCCCAAGAGAGTCCCCAACCAAGGAAAACCCCATAAGCACAAAGATTCCCTCCCTATAGGAACCCCAACTTTGACATTTGTCCCTTCCCAACCAATCCATCCAAGTTGGCCACCCTTGCCAACCTAGCTTGGTTGTTCCCAACCAATTTGCAGCTGTTACAGTAGAGTGACAAGTTTCCCCAACCCCAAAGGTCCCAACTCCATATAAAGTCACCCCACAACTTCACTTAGTAACCGCCGCAATTGTAACGCAAGCTCATGAACTTTGAATCTTCATAGCTTTCGCGTTCTTGCTCCGATTGAAGCGATTCTTGTTGCGTCGGAAAGATCTTCTCAAGATCTATCATCAAAATACCTGCTCAAACAAAAATAACACAGAACACATTCCCAAACTCCAGAACACACCACACACAAATTCTTTCACATTCAAACCACACATGCAAGTTGAAAACATGGGATGGGAGGCAGACAGAATGTGATAGCATATGATGACATCACACAACAATCTCCCCCTCTGGCTGCCAACCATCATCGACCATACCACATCTCAAGCATGCATACTCAATGCACACTCATCCCAGCAAGCTTCATGCCCTTCCAATGATCCGCCTCCGCCAGACGCTTAGTGAAAATATCTGCTGCCTGCTGATGGGTCTTCACTATCTCCAGCCGCACCTCCTTATCAAGGATTCTCCTCACCCAATGCCACTTAGGCCTTATGTGTTTTGTCAGCCCATGCAGACAAGCATTCTTGGCGAGCTTCACAGCGGACTCATTGTCACAAAACACAACTGTCGGCTTCTCCTGACCAACTCCCAACTCCTCCAACAAACGCCTTAGCCACACTACTTCCTTGGCCCCATGGTGTAAGGCCATGTACTCAGTCTCACATGAAGACAATCCCACCTCATTCTGCTTCTTGCTGCGCCAGCTCACAGCACCACCTCCCAGCAAGCACACATAACCCCCAATGCTGGTGCCATCCGCTTTCACTGAGTTGAAGCTAGCGTCAGTATAGCAACTCAAGAGCATCTCACCACTCTTCACATCTGCAGCACCTCTCTGCAACCGCTGCCTCACTCCACTGTACTCCAATCCCACTGATGCCGTAGCACTCACATAGCGGACCAACCTCTTGGCCGCTTCCAGCTGCTCATGACTAGGACGTGAAACCACGCTAGCCAGTCGTGATGTAGCAAATGCAATGTCAGGCCGTGTATGATTTGCAGCATAATTCAGCGACCCAACCATCGAATGAAACAGCTTCCTGTCACTATCACCCACTACCTCCTCATCAGCACATGGCTCCACAGTAAACCCTGAAGGTAGTGGTGTTGCTGGCTTTCCCCCATCTTGCAGCCCATACTTCTCAGCCAGCCCCTCACAGTACTTCCTCTGGTGCAACCTCAGCACACCCTTTTCCACATCTCTCTCCACATGCATCCCCAAGTAGTACTTCGCCTCACCCATCTTGGAGCACTTGAACTGCATCTCCAGCATCTGCTCTGCGCTGTCCAGCAAAGCAGTTGATGCAGAAAAGAGAAGGATATCATCCACATACACCAAGAGCATGAGGATTTCGTCCTTCTCCTGCAGCAGGAACAGGCTGGGGTCACACTCACTCTTCTTGAAACCCCCAGCCAGCAGCGCCTCCTCCAACTTGTGATACCATGCACGAGGCGCCTGCTTAAGGCCATAGATGGCCTTCTTCAGCCTGCAGACCCTGCCGCTCCCATCATCCAGCCCCTCTGGCTGCTTCATGTACACCTCCTCCAGAATGATCCCATTCAGAAAGGCAGTCACAATGTCCATCTGCCGAATCTTCCATCCCAGGAGTGCAGCTATCGCCAACAGCACCCTCAATGTTGTTCCTTTCCCCACAGGAGCAAACACCTCATCATAGTCCTTCCCCTTTGTCTGCTGAAACCCCCGTGCCACAAGCCTAGACTTGTAGCGGGTCAGCTCCCCTTCAGGTCCATACTTGTGCCTGTAGATCATCTTGGAAGTGATTGCCTTCTTCCCAGGAGGCAAGTCACACAGGTCCCATGTCTCGTTTTCAATCAGGGACCCGAACTCCTCATCCTCACTCGCCTTCCACTTCTCCCCATTTGGTCCATTCAAGGCCTCCTCTCGAGTCTTGGGCTCAGGGATTGGTGCCCAGTAGCAGTGAGCGATCTCATCTTCCTCAATCTGCTCAACCACACTCCCAGCCTGCACCACATTTGGCTTGCCTCTTCCCCCATAGGTCAGCCTCACCGGAGGGCGCACATCCCTCCTAGGTCGCTCAGGCGGGTGTGGAACTCGAGATGGAGACTCATGCTGCTGCTGCTGCTGCTGCTCTACTTCAGCTGCTCCCCCTTCCTCAGTCACCCCAGACATCTCCTCCTCTGACACTGCAACCTCCACCTGTCTTGAAGGCTGCTGCACCTCATCTGCCTCCACAATGAGCGGTGTAGATGGAAGCTTCTGTTGCTGCTGCTTCCATTCCTTGTAGTACAGGGACTCAAGAAACTTCACATCCCTTGACACTGTCAACTTCTGGGTGGTCAAGTCCCATAGCAGCCACCCCTTGTGATCCTTTGCAATCCCCAAGTGCACACCCCATCTTCCAGAAGCCTCCAACTTCCCCTTTTCTCCTTAGGCACATGAAACACCACCATGCACCCAAATGCCCTCAGCATGTTCACAGCTGGAGCACTCCCATACCACTTGACATATGGGATCCACTCCTTATCTCCAACTGTAGCCAGCACCCTGTTCTTCACAAGGGCGACCTGCCTCAGTGCAGACACCCAAAATGGATCAGGCAGCCCTGCACGCCCAAGGAGAGTGCGTGCCCCCTCCTGCAGGGTCCTGTTGAACCTCTCAGCCACGCCATTCTGCTGCGGGTTGTAGGGCACTGTCAGTTGATGCTGGATCCCCTTCCTCTTCAACTCCCCTCAAAATCAGCTCCAATGAACTCCCCACCATTGTCACTACGGATCACCTTCACCTTGTGTCCGCATTCCCTCTGAGCTCTCGGCATCCACTCCTTAAGGACAGCCGCTGCCACCTCCCCCTTGCTCTTCAAAGGGTAAACCCACACTGCCCAAGTGTGGTCATCCACAATTGTCAAGAAATAGCGGCTGCCTGAGAGGGAAGGGGCTCTTGTGGGCCCCACCACATCCATGTGCACAAGTGCAAGTGGGGTCTTGGATGGTCCAGTTGCACTGTTGAAGGGGAACTTGGAGAACTTGGTCTCCAAGCATGTAGGGCAGCTCCCAATCTCCTTCACTTCCCCTTTCACCTCCAAGCCCTTCAGGCTCCCATTCTTCACCAACTTCTGCAGCATAGGGAAGTTCACATGACACAACCTCTCATGCCATGTCTCCCAATCGGCCTCTCCACTCCTTGATGAAGCCTTAGCCCATGCCGCACTCGCATCCACACCAGCAAGCACCTCACCATGTGTCTGCTGCTTCTGCACTTTCTTGACTGCTTCCAGCACCCCATCAGTTGGTGCAGTTGCATCTCCTCCTGCTGTTGCCTTTGCCACTGCTGCCGTTGCTGCTGTTGGAGTCTTCCCATTCCAAGGGATGATGGGCAGCTGCCACAGGTCCTTGATGCAGCTGGTCTCCTCTTCCAGACTCCACAGCACCTTCTTCCCAAGCTTAGCACGGCAGCTGGTTGGTCCAAAGGTCACTTCGGCCTTACTCTTCTGCAGCCGCCGCACAGAGAGAAGGTTAGCAGACAAGCCTTTAACCAGCAGAACATTCCCAAGCCCCACAAGCTCCCCATTAGCTCCCTTAACCTTGGCATTCCCAACACCAATCACGGGGAGCAAAGCACCTGACGCTGCTGCCACATACTTAATCTTCCCAGGGGGTTTTACCTCATCAAGCAAATCTGCCTGTGGGGTCATGTGACTGGTGCAACCCGAATCAATCACCCAGTGCGTGAGAGGGTGCATCACAACCTTTCCCACAAATCCCACATCACCCTCATGCCCATGCACATCCTCAACCATAAGAAACAAACCAGGATAGGCATTACCTTGTGCACCTTCACCTTGTGCACCTGAGCCTTGCACAGCGCCACCTTGTGCGCGTTCACCACTGGGTGGCTTCATGCCTGGAGGTGCCCATCCCTCCGGCCTGCTGAAGCACTTGAACCAAGGATGCCCTATCTTCTTGCAGTACCAGCAGGTGCCCTCCATTCTGGTACTCCCCCTGCCACTAGAGCTCCCATGCCCCTCATTATAGTCACCTCGGCCTCTACCTCTGCCAAAGCTCCTCCCACGGCCTCGGCCTCTCCAACCCCCTCTTCCTCTGCCGCGCCCTGCAGCTCCATACCCCTCAGCAGTCTTAGTGGCAGCACCGCCTCCCACATGGCGTCTGCGGAAGTCCTCCTGCAGAATCTGCTGCCTTAGCCACTCAGGTGTCCATTGATCTTGTTGAGAGTTGAGGGTGGGGATGAGGTTGTCCCAAGAGTTGTCCAACACCGAGATGATCTTGGTGCACTGCTGCAGCTGAGATACACTGCTGCCCGCTGCTGCCATCCTTGCATAGGTGTCCTTGATCTTGTCAAGGACCGGCTTCACATCGTCCCCTGGTTGCATGGAGATGGCAGCAAGTTCCTTCTCGAGCACGATCACCATCAGGAGAGTGTTGGGCTGAACCACATCACGTAGTAGTTTCCACGCCCTTGGACCCGAATCATCCGCTTCCACAAGATCCTTGATGTGCTCGAACATCTCCTTGTTGACCGATTGAAGAATGAGGTCGAAAAGCACCGCGCTTTTCTCAATCCACCGTTCACGTGCTTCGCCTTCTTCCGGCATCTTCTCTTCCCCAACAGCAATCTTCAGTAGCTTGTAGCGTTTGAAGGCACTCCTCATCCGTCCGCTCCATTCCTCATAGTTGGAGCCATCCAAAGCTTCAACTTTTGATGGCGGCGGCTCACTTGTCTTCTCAGGTACAGCTCCTCTTCCATTAGCATCTCCTCCTCTCTCATTCATCTTCTCCTTGAGAAATGACGAATTTCAGCTCCCCTTTGCTGTCCACACTCAGCTCCCTCGATATTTTCACAAGTGTCGGCGTCCACGAAATTTCGGCAGAGTTTCCCCTTAGCGGAAGACACATCCAACCTTTAGAACACCACTTAGGCACACCCACAGGCCATGGTGGGTCTAGAAGGGTCTTCACACTTCTGTAGACTCCTCTCAATGTCCTTAATATTGCTCTGATACCACTTGTTAGGATTAAGGACAGAGTCTAGGTGAACTTAGGAGCTAGAATTACTCAAAATATAAATCCGAAATTCTGGACAGAAAAGTCGTCTTCACAAGAAACGACGTCGACAAAAACCTAGCCGTTGGAATGTCGCGAAACTTGGATATGTTGTAGCTCTTAATCTCAGCTACCGTTCCCAATTTGAATCACGTTGATTGATGAAGTATTCGCGACGCTATGGCTTTCGACGCACTAGGGGGTAAGCTGTAGGAGGAGAACTTAACTCAATCTCAAGAGTTCAATCAAAGTTCAAGAATCTCACAAGGAATTTGAGGAGCAAGAGAAAGGTTGGGATAGGAAGAGAGGGATGAGAGGGAAGGTCCCAAGAGAGTCCCCAACCAAGGAAAACCCCATAAGCACAAAGATTCCCTCCCTATAGGAACCCCAACTTTGACATTTGTCCCTTCCCAACCAATCCATCCAAGTTGGCCACCCTTGCCAACCTAGCTTGGTTGTTCCCAACCAATTTGCAGCTGTTACAGTAGAGTGACAAGTTTCCCCAACCCCAAAGGTCCCAACTCCATATAAAGTCACCCCACAACTTCACTTAGTAACCGCCGCAATTGTAACGCAAGCTCATGAACTTTGAATCTTCATAGCTTTCGCGTTCTTGCTCCGATTGAAGCGATTCTTGTTGCGTCGGAAAGATCTTCTCAAGATCTATCATCAAAATACCTGCTCAAACAAAAATAACACAGAACACATTCCCAAACTCCAGAACACACCACACACAAATTCTTTCACATTCAAACCACACATGCAAGTTGAAAACATGGGATGGGAGGCAGACAGAATGTGATAGCATATGATGACATCACACAACACTTATAAGCACCCCACTAGGGTGTATACACCCAAGTAGGGGGTTGGGTTCCCAACCTTGTTGGGTTCCCCAATTGGTTGGGCTCCCAATTATTGGAACCCCTAAATAATCCCCACCAAGATGATTGGACCCAACAATAATCTTGGCTAGGATTATTGGACCCCAATCAGTTGGCCAACCCAGCTTAGTGGGGTGACCAATAATCGTGGTCACCTCCCAACCAAACCCCCCCTCCTACTCCTCACCTACAGTATGTATACCCGCTCCTTTCCCAATACAATGACCTACTGTTTACCGTCACGATTTCTCACATGGTAATCAGAACGTAGGGCTCACGCCCCTCAGATCCTCCGCCAATTTTTTTATTTTATTTTTTCCCATGCCCCCAAGCTCGCCATGCTACCCTTTCCTCCCTGGAATAGGGACTTCCTCCCTTCAACTCTCGTCGCTCCCTCTCGCTCTCATCTCATCGCCACCTCTGCCGCTCGCCCCGGCGCTTCCCGCGGTGCCTCCTGCCGCCGTCATCGCTCGTCACGGCGCTACTCGCGACGCCTCCCGCCGCTCTCGCTGCTCGTCGCTGCGCGTCCCGCGGCGCCTCCCGCCGCCGTCGTTGCTCGTCGCCGCGCTTCCCGCGGCGCCTCCCGCCGCCGTCGTTGCTCGTCGCCGCGCTTCCCGCGGCGCCTCCCGCCGCCGTCGTTGCTCGTCGCGGCGCTTCCCGCGGCACCTCCCGCCGCCGTCGACGCTCATCGCGGCACTTCCCACGATGCCTTCCGCCGCCGTCGCCGCTCGTGGCGGCGTGTCCCGCGGCGCCTCACGTCGCCGTCGCCTCCCGCGGCACCTCCCGCTGCCATCGTCGCTCAACGCGGCGCTTCCCGTGGCGCCTCCCGCTGCCCTTGCTGCTGCTCGCGACATCCCCAGCCATAGCCGCATTCGCTGCAGCTCCCAGCCCGCCTTCCATCCTTCTCCCCCTTTCTCCTCCCACTCAGCGGCTCCTAGCCCGCATTCCACCAGTCCTCCCCCTCTCTCCTCCCCTCCGCAGCTCCTAGCCCGCATTCCACCCATCCTCCCCCTCTCTCCTCCCCTTAGCGGCTCCTAGCACACAATCCACCCGTCCTCCCCCTCTGTCCTCCCCTCCGCAGCTCCCAGCCCGCCTTCGGCCCGTCCTCCCCCCCTCTCCTCCCCTCCGCAGCTCCTAGCCTGCATCCCGCCCGTCCTCCCCTTCTCTCCTCCCCTCAGCGGCTCCCCCCCTGCCTTCCGCCCATCTCCCTACCTCTCTCCTCCCCTCGACGGCTCCCAGCCCGCATTCCGCCCGACGTCCTCCTCTCTCCTCTCCTCCGCAGCTCCTAGCCCGCATTCTGCCCGTCCTCCCCCTCTCTCCTCCCCTCAGCAGCTCCTAGCCCGCCTTCCGCCCATCCTTCCCCCTCTCGCCTCCCCTCAGCGACTCCCAGCCCGCCTTCCGCACGTCCGCCCTTGCGACTTCCAACTGTCCTCCTTCGGTGGGAGCACCATGCGCCGCCCGCCGCAGAAACACCTCCTCCTTCGCCGGCAGCACCACGCGCCGCTCGCAGCCACACCACCCCCTCCGGCGGCAGCACCACGCGCCGTCCGCAGCAGCACCACCCCCTCCGACGGCAGCACCACGCGCCGCCCGCAACAGCACCACCCCCTCCGATGGCAGCATCACGCGCCGCCCACAGCAGCACCATCCCGTCCGGGGGCAGTGGCGCGCAGCGACCGCGCCGCCGCCAGCGCCCCCCTCCGGCGGCGGCGGCCCGCGCCGCCCGCACCCCCCTCTGACGGGGGCAGCTCGCGCCGCCCGCTCCCCCCTCCGGAGGTGGCGGCCCGCACCACCCGCGCCCTCCACGCCCCCCTCCGGCGTCGGCGGCCCGTGCCACCCGCGCCCCCTTCCGGCGAGGGCACGACACTCACCTTCGTCACTGCTTTCCACGCTGCCCGAATCCTCCTCAGGCGGCAGCACCATGCACCGCCCGCGTTCTCCTCTGAGGGAAGCCGTATTCGCCGCCCGCGCCCTCCTCCGGCGTCAGCTGCACGCGCCACTCGCGCCCTCCTCCGGCGTTGGCTGCACGCACCGGCTGTGCCCTCCTCCGATGGCATCAGCATGCGCCACCCCCGCCCTCCTCCGGCGGCAGCTGAACGCGCCGCCCGCGCCCTCCTCCGGCGGCAGCACCGCGCGCCGCCCGCGTTCTCCTCCGGCGGCAGCACCACGCCCCGCCCCCGTTCTCCTCCGGCGGCAGCCCCACGCGCCGTCCGCGCCCTCCTCCGGCGGCAGCAGCACGCGCCGCCCGCGCCCTCCTCCGGCGGCAGCACCACGCGCCGCTCGCGCCCTCCTCCGGCGGCAGCAGCATGCGACGCCCGCGCCCGCCTCCGGCGGAAGCACGCGACGCCCTCGAAATCCTCTGGCAAAGCTGCTGCACGCGCCGCCCGAGCCCTCCTCTGGAGGCAGCAGCACGCGCCCTCCTCCGCTGGCAGCAGCACGCGCCCCCCGCGCCCTCTTCTGGCGGCACACCACGCGCCGCCCGCGCCCTCCTCCGGCGGCAGCACCAAGCGCCGCCCCCGCCCTCCTCCGGCGGCAGCATCACGCGACGCCCGCGCCTTCCTCCGGCGGAAGCACGCAACGCCCGCGTCGTCTTCTGGCACTGCTGATGCACGCGCCGCCCGCACCCTCTTCCGGCAGCAGCACCATGCCCCGCCCGAGCCCTCCTCTGGAGGCAGCAGCACGCGACGCCCGCGCCCTCCTCCCGCGACAGAACGACGCGACGCTCGCGCTCTCCTCTGGCACCAATGCTGCACGCCCGGCCCGCGCCATCCTCCGGCGGCAGCAGCACGCGCCACCCGCACCCTCCTCGGGCAGCAGCAGCACGCGCCGCCCACGCCCTCCTCTGGCAGCAGCAGCACGCGCCGCCCGCGGCCTCCTTCGGCGGCAGCAGCACGCGCCGCCCGCGCCCTCCTCCGGCGGCAGCTGCACGCACCGCCCGCGCCCTCCTCCGGCGGCATCAGCAAGCGCCACCCGCGCCATCCTCCGGCGGCAGCTGCACCCCCCGCCCGAGGCATCCTCCGGCGGCAGTGGCACGCGCCACCCGCGCCCTCCTCCGGCGGCAGCTGCACGCGCCGCCCGCGCCCCGCTCCGGCGGCAGCAGCACGCGCCGCCCGCGCCCTCCTCCGGCGGCAGCTGCACGCGCCGCCCACGCCCTCCTCCGGCACCGGCGCCATCCTCCGGTGGCAGCAGCACGCGACGCCCGCGCCCTCCTCCGGCACCGGCAGCAGCACGCGACGCCCGCGCCCTCCTCTGGCGGCAGCAGCACGCGATGCCCGCGCCCTCCTCCGGCACCGGCAGAACCACGCGCTGCCCGAGCCCACCTCCGGCGGCAGGACCACACGCCGCCTGCCCCCTCCTCCGGCACCAGCAGAACCACGCGCCTCCCGCACCCTCCTCCTGCACCAGCAGCACCACTCGCCGGCCGCGCCCTCCTCCGGCCGCAGCAGCACGCGCCGCCCGCGCCCTCCTCCGGCGTCAGCACCACGCGCCGCCCGCTCCCTCCTCCGGCGTCAGCACCACGCGCCGCCCGCGCCCACCTCCGGCGGCAGCACCTCGTGCCGCCCGCGCCCTCCTCTGGCGGCAGCAGCATGCGCCGCCGGAGCCCTCCTCCGGCGGCAGCTGCACGCGTCGCTGGCGCCCTCCTCCGGCGGCAGCAGCATGCGCCGCCGGCGCCCTCCTCCGGCGTCAGCTCCATGCGCGGCCCGCGCCCTCCTCGGGCCGCAGCACCACACGCCGCCCGCGCCCTCCTCCGGCCGCAGCACCACGCGCCGCCCGCACCCTCCTCTGGCAGCAGCACCACGTGCCGCCTGCACTCTCCTCTGGCACCATTTTCCGTGCTGCCCGTGTCCTCCGGTGGCAGCACCGCACGCCGCCCGCGTCCTCCTCCGGGGGTAGCTGCACGCGCCGCCCGCGTCCTCCTCCGGCGGCAGCACCACGCGCCGCCCGCGTCCTCCTCCGGCGGCAGCACCACGCGCCGCCCGCGTCCTCCTCCGGCGGCAGCACCACGCGCCGCCCGCGTCCTCCTCCGGCGGCAGCACCACGTGCCGCCCGCGTCCTCGTCCAGCGGCAGCACCACCCGCCGCCCGCGTCCTCCTCATGGGGGAATACCAAATTCAGGAGTTGCTTCTCCTCATCTACCCAAGACCTATGGCACTCTGTAGGCTAAGGGGCTGTGTTAGAACATTCTACCTTCATTCTATTAGCCTACATTGTTTCATTGTCTTAGGTACTTATAAGCACCCCACTAGGGTGTATACACCCAAGTAGGGGGTTGGGTTCCCAACCTTGTTGGGTTCCCAAATTGGTTGGGCTCCCAATTATTGGAACCCCTAAATATTCCCCACCAAGATGATTGGGCCCAACAATAATCTTGGCTAGGATTATTGGACCCCCAATAAGTTGGCCAACCCAACTTATTGGGGTGACCAATAATCGTGGTCACCTCCCAACCAAACCCCCCCTCCTACTCTTCAC